AGAGAGAGAGAAGTTCCAGAAACATGAGCGCTCGTTGAAGAATGTGCTGGAGCATGGTGCTGCACATGTGGTTCTGGCTCCCTGGGAGGCAATGATGGGTGATGTGATGATGGAGAAGGGGGATGGGGATCATTTGAGTTTGGTGCACTGTTATCTTTGAGAGTTTCAGTATATGGGTTTTTGCACTCAGGAGGAAGTGATACTGGAGTCTTTTCTGCTGGAGATAGTGATGGTGAATGAGTAGTTGGAGCTTGTGGAGACTTGTGTGTTGGAGAAAGATATGGAGATTGCTTTGGTAGTGTAGTAGAAGGTAGGTGTGAAGGAGATTTGCTCATTGAAGATGGAGAAGGTGAATGAATAGGAGCTGGTGTAGGAGCTTCATAAGAAGGCATGGGTACCGAGGTTTTAGGAGCTAGACAGAGTGCTTAAATGAGTTGAAGTCGGTGTAGGAGCTTCATTGGGAGGAGCACGAGATGGAGAATAAGTTGATAGTATTAAGGAAGGTGTGTGTGCTAGAGTTTTGGCCACTGAAGATGGGGTTTCAACTAGCGGCGATGGAGAAGGATAATGAGTTGGTGGATTTGAATAAGGAACATGTGTAGTGATTTTAGCAACTGGAGATTGAGGTGAAGAAAGATAATGAGTTTGTGGTCTTGAGGAAGGTGCCTATGTAGGGGTTTTGGTAACTGGAGATTGAGGTGAAGAAAGATAATGAGTTTGTGGTCTTGAGGAAGGTGCCTATGTAGGGGTTTTGGTAACTGGAGATTGAGATTGAGATCGAGAAGGCGAATGAGCTGTTGATTTTGAAAGAGGCACATGTACACGGGTTTTTGCTACTGGAGATGGAGTTGGAGAAGGAGAAAGAGTTGGTGGTTTTGAAGAGGGCATGTGTGTAGGAGGTTTAGCTAGTGGAGATAGAGACGGAGAAGGGGAATGAGTTGGTGATCTTGAGGTAGGTGAGTTTGTAGGGGATTTCATCAGTGAAGATGGAAAATGTGAATGAATTGGTGGTTTTAAAAAAGGTATGTGGGTAGGAGTTTTGGCTATTGGAGATGGAGATGGAGCATGGGTTGGTGGTTTTGGAGAAGGTGCATTAATAGTCACTAGAGATAAAGAGGGAGAATAGATTGGTGGTTTTGAAGAGGGTGTGTATACAAGGGTTTTAGCTAGTGGAGATTCTGATGGTGTAGGAGATTGAGTTCATGGTCTTGAGGTAGGCGCGTGTGTAGGAGTTTCGGTAATTGGAGATGGAGATGGAAAAAAAGTTAGTGGTTCTGAGAAAGGTAAGTGTATAGGGGTTTTGGCTACTGGAGATGGATAACGAGAATGAGTTGGTGATTTTGAAGAAGGTGCATGTGCATAAATTTTTGCTTCTGGAGATGGAAAAGGATAATGAGTTGGTGGTTTTGAAGATGTACTTGTCTAGGGGTTTGACTTAGTGGAGATTGAGATGGAGAATGGGAATGAGTTGGTAGTCTTGAGGTAGGTGAGTGTGTAGGGGTTTTGGTCAGTGAAGATGGAGAGGGCGAATGAGTTGGTGGTTTTAAAGAAGGTGCATATGCCGGGGTTTTAGCTAATGGAGATGGAGAAGGAGAATAAGTTGGTGATTTTGAAAAAGGCGCGTACGTAGGGATTTTAGCCATTGGAGATGGAGATGGAGAAGGGAAATGAGTTTTCGCTTTTGAAGAAGGTGCATGTGTCGGGGTTTGGGCCACTGGAGATGGAGGTGGAGTTTGAGAATGAGTTGGGGGTTTAGAGGAAGTTAAATAAAACAGAGTTTTTGCCACTGGAGGAGGAGAATGAGTTGGTGGTTTTGAAAAAGGGGTATTTGCCTGGGTTTTAGCCATCGGAGATGGAGATAGAGAAGGAGTTGGTGGTTTCAAGGAAGATGTATAGGCGGGGTTTTTTGCTAACTAAGAAAGAGAGGGGACGAAAGATGGTGGTGGAGGTTGTGTTTTAGGTGCCGGTGAGTGAGCTTTGTGGAGTGAAGACATAGAAGGAGAATGTGTCAGTGTTTTCCCAAAAGGCGAATATGTCGGCATATTGGCCATCAAAGAGGAACTGGTCATGGATGATGGTCATGGATCCGAGGCGGAACTATATGAGTGTGGTGGTGATCAGACATTACTACAATGGTAAGTTTCTCCCCCTTCTCACAGTTATTATCATGGCCACTAATGAAGAAGAATGGTCCTGATCTATCAAACTTGAATTCTGAGTCCCCATTTCTCCTAGTTTGTGTAGTATTATCCATGTTGCATTTATCATAGTCATGTCTCTCCACAACAAACACTGAATCAAACCTCTTTTTTTGTACTTGAAAACTGCAAAACAATGACGACTATAGCATTAGAGAAGTGTTGTATCAGACACATTGTGTAAATAATAGATTTCGAAATAAAGCGTAACCTTATTTTTGTGCATATCCACAATTACACACATTTTACGTAACAATTACGCTCATGAGCACAGTGATCTAAAAATTTATGATAATGCATAAAACTGACATTTCGTTAAGAACACACACACATAAACATACCGATACCGATGGTATCATTGATTTGAAACCGGTTTCTTTCGGCCTAGTGATTGTACTTCTCCAATGATTTAACCACCCAACCCTCGTCGCCACCAACGTATAATATTCTGGCCTGACATGTGCAGAAAAATCTCATTGAAATCAAAAAAAGAAAGCTGCTCATCAAAGGCATACAATGTGTCATTGAAATTGAATACCCAAAGCTTTAAGCCCCCTTGAACGAAAAACAATTTATTATAATGCAAGTAAAAAGGTTAAACTCTATTTGAGGCGACTGAAATGTTTATCTATATATATACATACTATTAGCATTATATTATGAATTTATTATGATGAAGATTTAATAAACAAATGGTATCGCTTAGGGCTGAAATATCAGTGTTCAATATAATTTAATTCAGTAGCTGGCATTACTATATGAAATTTATTTTTGCATTTGGATTTAACAGTCAACGAAGATTTAATTTTTTTATTTTCTGAAACAAATTTCACCTGAAAAGATAAATTTAATTAATAAATAAACCAGATTAGAATAATTATTCTGGTACTATGAATTTCTTTTACTTCCTTTGAAATTCGATTGAAGTATGTGTGACCAACAGAAATTATTATGAAATAATTTTACTTTTTATTGAAACTTAAGATGCCATTTACTCTTGCATTCAACAATCTTGGTCAAATTAATTGATTTTTTCTGCACAAAAAAATTCAATCTTCTTTATTTGTACAAAAAGCTCCAAAATGAAGGGTAATTAACAGTGCTTAATCGGTCGTTCAAATTGTTGAGATTCGAAGGGGTTAACATAGTTATTTGACAGCTCGACCTCTTAATCTTTGTTCGAGTAAGACAATGGTTTCAATTAATTTTCCCCTCTAAATCGATTTCAAAGAGTGAATATTCTGGTTTTATAAGGTAATGCAAGCTGGACCTCGGAGTATTGTTCGTATGCTTTACAATTGCTTATAAATAGACTTGTTTTATGTATGTAGGACGGAAAAAGGTGTCATTCAAGTTCATATTGTGGTTTAGACTTTAAAAGTTTGGTTTGATTACTAGACCAAAATTTTGGCACCATCGAGTAGGTATAGAATAGACGAATTACACGAGAATAGTGGATTAATTGATAATTATTTTTAAAGGATCTATTCCTAGTTTATTGGAGTTAGAATGCAATCTTATGATTGATGTTTCAAAAGATGTGTACAAGTCGTCCTCTAATCTTGGGATCAATGAGCTTGCATAGGTAAGTCTTTCGAAAAAATAAATTCTTGCATAAGAGTTCAAATATATTTTATGAGAGCAATTATTGGATAATTCTATGGGAACGGTGCGTCACCAATGAATTCAATGACTTTTCAATAATATTATGTCGAGCTATTTAACCTTTCAAGAATACATTTGACCAACCCTTTATAAAGTTCTATGAATAAACTCTAAAGTTCTAAAATACAATATGCTTGTGTTGATGACCTAAACAAGAAGAGATGTTGGTAGTTCATAAGTTTTGACTTTCTATTATTTTCTGTGTGACATTTACAATATCCACGATGGAAAACTCTCGATTAGTATAAATACAAGTTGATTATGCTCACAGAACTTAGCTTTCAAAAAAGTAACATTAACACAATTAATCGATTGCATGAATGATTGAAAATTACAGATAGTCGACCCAAATGCCATGAAGAAAAGCAAAAACAATTAAATTGTCCATCTTTAGAATGGGATAAGTTGTCTATATACACCACAACTAATGTTTTATAGTTGGATTATGCCATTTTGTCAATGATAGATGTATTGATAGATGAAGTGGTGGCAAAAGATAATTGGATGAA